CGGATCCGATGGGGCCATTTATTATAATAGTCGCTTACAAGACGCGTCATATACAAGAGCGGTCGTTTACAACAATTGCCGTGCACGAGAAGCCCACGTGGATGTCCCTACGGCCCTTTCGGGGCCTTCTTTGGGAGCGCTGTCGGCCATCTTGGAACTGTCTTAGGGCCACTCCAGCGCGGTCTCGGCGGGCCTGAAGAGGGTTCCAAGAAGGGCCAACATCCTGCCGAAAACAAGGCCTTGTTCGTAACAGGTCGTTGGGCCCTCTTGAGGCTCTCTCGGCGCCCTCTTGGGGCCCCAAGAGGAGTTCTCGGTGCCCTCCACGGCCCTTCAATGTGCTTTCGGGGGGCCTTCAGAGGGCTCCAACACGGTCCCCAACGGATGCTACAAACCATCCCCATGTTGTAACATCCGTCGGTCGCCCCTCTGCAGACCCCCCCCCGCGCGTTCAGAGCGCACGAGTGGGAGTTCAAGAGGGCCCCAAAAATGTTCCAAAGAGGGCGCCCAACGGATGCCACAACGCACCCCGATGTTTGTAGCATCCGTCGGGTGTCATTTTGGGGCCCTCTTGGGCCCTTGCCGAGGCCCTATTGGACCTCTTCTGCGGGCCCCGCCACCGCCTCCAGAGGCCCCCAGGAGGGCCCCAAGCGGCCCCCCACCGGATGTTACAACGCACGCGAACGCACACGCCTGTTGTAGCATCCGTCGGGGGGGGGGGGGGCTCTTGGGGCCCTCGTGGAGGTCATTGCGGGGTCCCCTTGGGGCTCTCCCAAAGCTTCCCGGGCCCTCTTGGAATCTTCTTGGTCACTCTTGAGGCCCTTTGGGGGCCCTCTCGGGGCTTGGGCACGTGCGAGACGTGCCACCTGTTTGTATTGTATTCAGGGGCTGGAAGAAAGAATCCTTTCAACGACCCACGCCCGGAGGGCTTGTGGGATTGCAGGGCCATTGCGGGGCGTTGCGCTGTCATCGTTGCAGGGTATTCAAGGAGGGTCTTTGCAAGGTATTGCGGGGCCTGGTTTGCAGGGTATTGCAAGAGTCGTTGCATGATCTTTGCAAGCTAGTGCATGGTCTTCGCGGGGGCCTTGCATGGGGGGCTTTGCAAGATATTGCAAGGCTTTCGCAGCGGGGTCTAAGGGAAAGGGCAGGGAAAGGGGCTGCTGGAGAAGGACGAGTGAGCTCCCTAACTGGATCACCTCACGCTTTACAGGGCCGGTGGGATTCGACCCTCGATGCTCGATCTGCGACGTTCATTCCTCGATCTTCGGCCCGCGATGTTCAATCCGCGACGTTCGGTCCTTGCACCTCGGTCGTCGACCCGCGGCGCCCCATCCCAACGAGAGGGGCGCCGGAGCGCGAAGCCAGCGCCAAAAGAAACAGCAACGGCGAAAAGTACAGCTGCAACAGTAGGGGCAGAGGCAGCATCTGGCAGCAGCGGCAGAGGCAGCATCGACGCCCCGTGGGTCTCCGCGGGTCTTCTGAGGCCTCCTGAGGCCGCCGGGTACCTCGGGGGCAAGCAACAACTTGCCAATTTGTCTTCGTCCTCAGCCTCTTCATGCTTCCCCGCTCCTTCAAGTCTGAATCCTTCCCTCCTCTAACCTCTCGTTTCCCTGTTGCCCCTCGTCTTCGTCCACTTCCTGCCCCGCCCCCTCATCCTCCCCCTGCTCCTCCTAGTGTATCCATATGTATTGTCGTCCTCCGTTTCCTCCTCCCTTTCCTCCTACTTGCTGCTCCTCCTCCGCCTCCTCCTCCTCGCCCCCCTCGCTGGCCATCCTTCCTGGGTCCCTTTTTCGTTTTCCCCGCCCCTTAACCACGTGGCCATCCTGGCACTACTCACACGCGCTGGACGCCCTGCGACCCTCACAAGCATCGATGTTGTCACCACGGTCAGAACACCGATCCCACGCCGCCAGCCGGTGATCACGCTGCTTGGCTGCCCCCCCTGCCGCACAGGATGGTGAGCAGGAGGGAGGTTCGTCGCGGCCCGCGACCGCAATGCGATCCCAAGGCGACCTTCACGTGACACCGTGGTCTGGGGTGGCCCCTGGACCCTAGCGCGACACCAATATGACTCCATGACAAAATCGCGATCCACCGTGACCCAGCGACGGTCCCAAGACGACCCCAACAAGAGCACGTGATGACCCCAACTTCGTGGCCCAAGTGTAGTTCCCGAGCGAATCCGTGAATCCAAAATAACCCCACGGGAACCCATACGAACCCCGACACGACCCCAATACAAGCTCTTGTGGCGTTAAGACGGAGCCAGAAACACCACGTGACGCCGAGTCGACCCCGAGATGATACAATGACTCAAATATGACACCTGTGGCCCCACTATGTCCCAATACGGTTCCAATATGGAAACAATACAACAACAGGGGAAGGTAAGTCCTCATCGGCTCAGGGCCGCGCTACGTCGAGGCCAGTTGGCCCGAAGACGGACTGGTTCTAGGTGCCAGATGCAAATGTTCTAGGTGCAACTTAGCGCGGCTTCGGTTTAAAAAGACTCCTTGTGCGGGGGATTTTACCATAAGGTTTCTTTTGTGGAAGATTACAATCGGATTCCCGAGAAGAATCTAGTGACACAGCGTGCTATTGATACGTTCCGGAGATTCCAGGATTTCTGACAGCCTTCGCGCGGGGTACACTTTGCGTCGAGTATTGTCTACTCTGGCTGGCGCCGCTGGTCGGTCACCCATTCGCAATCGACTGGTCGCCAGGCAGTTGCTGACCCCCCTTCTCGTTGCCGAGCGCGGGGGGGACGGTGGCGCAACGTCCCATCGCCCGCCGCCGCGCACCGCGCGCCTCGGCGGATTTCCCAAGACCTGGCAAGGCAAATCACACGCGCCTCAGAAAAATTCCCCGGGGGTAAAGGTGAACAAATCCGGGAACATGTTTCAACACGTCCGGCCTACTTTTTGTGAAAAATGCCAGAATCGTTTTTGAAAATATTCCGGGATCGATTTTGGAAAATTCCAGAATCCATTTTGAAAAACTCCGGGTTTCACAATTCTTCAGATGTCCTGTGCGGCGGGCGCATTCCACCTCTCAAAATTGTGTTTTGAAAATTTCCGGGCTCCTTGTTGAAAAATTCCGAAACCGCCTGCGCGAAAAAAGCGGAAGCGCTGTCTGACACATTCATCAATCCAGAAATAATATCCGGGCGGTCCGACGGGCGCGGCCGGCTGATTCACGCGCCGCGCCGCGCGCGATTGGGCGCAGCGCGCGCCGCGCGTTGCGCTCGCGAACAGCACTCGAAGGGGCCACTCCGAAAACAGCGCCACGGCAGCTGCGACTCGCGGACTGCCCAAGAGCAACACAGCATGCAGCTTGGAATCTTCAAGGGCGCTCCGATGCGCGAAAAATACACCGCGAATATCACGCAAAGATACTGCGCGACGGAATGCGCTCGACCATTCGTCCCTGGAGCCCGCGCGGAAGAACAGGACAACCTGGAAATCTGGAGAACTATCAATATCAATACTTCATGTTCGTCTGGGGAAGTTACAAAAAAATCCTTGCGTGGGCGATTACATTAGGATTCCTTTTGTAGAGGTTTTCAGTCGGATTCCACGCGTGGGGCATTCTAATAGATTCCGTTTGTGGCGATTCTCGGCCAGGCGGGATGGCCCGGAGATTTCGCCAGAGATTCCGCTTCCCTGAGATTTCGCTGGAGATTTCGCCAGAGATTACGCTTCGCGAAGATTTCGCCGGAGATTTCGCCAAGGGGGTCTGCTGCCGGAGATCGGAACGGGGCCCCCGCACCGCTACCGGAGATTCCAGGGGAGATCTTCGCAAGACTTTGATTTTGAAAATGAAAACGGATCGTACCGTAGTCTACGTTGACACAATGCCAGGTTAGAGGCCTCCTCGATGGGGTTCGAGTAGATGGGGTAGGAAGATCGCGCCTCATCGCCGATACATCGCCGATACATCGGCGATGCATCGGCGATGCATCGACGATGCATCGGCGATGCATCGGCGATGCACCGGCGACTTCGGGGCTGCATCGGCGACGGCGACGTGAAGCAAATCGGGCTGCACATCAAGCCGCATCGGTGATCTATCGGCGATGCGGCGCGATCCTCCGACCCCATCTACTCCAAATCCCTTATTGATCGCCCCACGGATCCAGTTTTTGAAGGCGTTTATTTTGTAATTGGGAGGGTCTGGTTTATTAGGCCGCTTTCTGTGGATTGGAGCTTAGGGGGTCCGTTTCATTGAGGCGCCACGTCGAAGAGAAAGGGCCGGGATAATAGGGCGCATTTGGAGGGGGGTCCTGTTTGTTAAGGGGGGGTCGGTAAATAAGAGACCTGGAATACTCCGACCCCATCTATTGAGAAGGGACCCGCCGTCCCGGCAGTCCCATAGTCCTACCACGAAACGTTTTAAGAACGCAAAAATGTGCGAAGAACGAAGACGAGGTTCTTAGGACATAAACCCGATGTGATAAAACCAAACAGACTCCGCCAGAAATGTTCTAAGAACATTTCGTGTAAACCACAGAAGGTTCTTAGAACCTTGTTTGGTAGGGCTATAGGCGGGCCAAGACGCTTCGCCACTGCTTGCATCTAGGAGGCCTAGTGGGGTGCGTTCCGGCATGCCGCAGCTGCGCCCCGCCGGGGGCGTCCCAGGGGTGCCCCCCCCCTCGCCCCGAGCACGGCCGCCGGAGAGACCCCCCCGCTGTGGCCCGCAGGCCGCGCGAACCTTCGCGGGGGGAGCCCGGCTTCCCCAGCGCGCTGGGACCCTCTCGGGGGGGAACGAGAGAGGGGGGCAGGAAAGGGCAGGGCAGAGAACCCGCTCCCGTATGGCTGATTTTCCCAGCGCCTCCCGGCGCCGGCAGGCGCCCATGTATCGAGGGATGGGCCTGGCGGCGGGGCCGACACCAGCTGCATGCAGCATATGTCGTAACCCCCCCTTTCCCTATCCCCCCCTTTCGTTCGGCCCGACCCTCGGGCCCCCGAGCTGCGACCGGTCGATCAGGCTGCTGGCGCGCAGGCCGTGGGAGGCCGCGGCGGTGCCTCCACACTGCGCCGAAGCTCGGCGGGCTCGAGCACCGGACGGCGCGCAGGAGGCGGGGCGAGGAGGACGAGGAGCAGAAGCGGGCGCTGACCATCCAAGCCGTTCTCACAGATCCCCTGCTCAGGAGGCAGGTGCACTCTGGCGCGCGCCCTGGGCCGCGTGCCACACCCGCAGCCAGGGCCGTCCTGGACGGTGGAGGCCAGGTGGCGGATTGCGAGAACAACAGGCAGACGCCATCGCACGTCCGACACCAGCGGCGTGCGTGTCGCCCGTCGAGAGCGGGAGCGTGCACGCCCGAGGAGAAGGAGTGGGGAGAGGAGGCGGCCGAGGAGAGTGGGCACAGGACGGGCAGAGGCGCGGTCCAGCCACGGGAAGGTGGGGTGTGTGGCAGGAGGGGCGGGGCACACCGTCCAACTACCCGAGCCCAAACACACACTGAGAAGGACGAGGGGAGGTGGAGGAGGACACCGACATCCCTACCCCCACGACGACATCCCTACGGTGTCGTCGCGTTCGTGCGCCGTCTGACGCCCAAGGTCTCCTGGAACCCTCGTCCGAACGGTCCAAGGAAAGTACGTGATGGCCCGGTCAAAGGTGGCCTGCGCAATTATTGAGCCAACCTTTTTCTCCACGCTGTCTCATAGAGCCATAGAGGGCAAGCACGATATCAGCCGGAGGCTTGGGTCGTAGCTACTCGCCCGTGCATCACCCAACCTATTCAGTGCAATCGAAAATTGTGAACATCAACTTCGTGACACAGCGAAGCAACGATTCGGAGAAAACAGCCAGCATACCTAAGGACATCAAATCGTGATTTGGCCGTGGCGGCCATCTGCGTGTACGCTCAAGCCGAGCACGCCGACAGCAGCATGGACAGCACCCGAGGGCCAAGGACAGCACCGGATTGTGAGACGAAAAAAGAGAGGGAGAGGGTGATGTGAGTGTGAGTTAGTTGTGAGCGGTCTGAATATGAGTCTGCAGGCGATCTGGGTCAGGGAGAGGAGGAGTGAGCGAGGGAAGGTCTGGAGGCGTCCGACAAAACAACAGGAGCCCCCTCTCAGGGATGGCGTACAATCTCCGAACCCTCGGACCCGGGCGCTGCAGGGAGAGCTTGGTCAGCATCCGCTGGTGGACAGTCCACGCGAATTGGCGCAGGCTGGCAGGAGCCATGACCAAAATTTGGGCGTTGCTTAATGGGGGGTCACAAATGGGGGGGTCAGAAAAGGTCCCCTTTCGTGCCCCTTTCGGGCCCCTCCAGAGCCCCAGGGGGCTCGTTTAGGTACCGTTTGGGTACCTTTTCGGGCCACCCTCGCCACCCCCCCATTTATGACCCCCCCATTACGCAACGCCCAAAAAATCAGCGTCGACAAGATCCCGGGACATCTTGGTTATGGTCGGCGTGCTACTTCCCTCGGCTCAGGGTCATCAGACAATGGCCCCCGGCCTCAGCCGGTCACGCACTATAATATATAACACTTGCACAGTTCTCCTCGATCCTCCTCCTCTGCCTCCTCCTCGATCCTCCTCTTCCTCCTCCTACTCGATCCTCCTCCTTCCCCAGGGCGCACAATTGGCACTGCGGAAAGAACCGACTTGCCCCGAGGCTGTAAACAATTAGCACGAAGCGCGCGCCGATTGCGAAAACAGTAGGGGCCCTTCCACAAGAAACCTTCCACAATACATCCAACACTGAGACCCCAGGACGTTCATTTATGTTTGGGGTGGGACCGCCACGCTGTCCATAGGAAAACCATCGAAACCCAAGAAACCCAGGGCACCCTGGAGGCAGGCAGGGTGTTTCTTGGCATGGGCCTCCACTGTTTGAAACATGGCGAAGGTGAGACACATCGAAATCCCGCCGCATCCCATGGGCGGCGGCGCGCAGAAGGTTTGCTTTCCACGCCATGTTGCCCAGATCGACTGAACGCCGGGCCCCCGAGCTCAGGCTGGCACGCTTTAACCTGAGGGTGCATGCACATTAGAAATGGAGAAAATGCCCATCAGCAACAGCGGTCGCTGTCCGTGGACGCATCTGGGTCGCACCCCCTCGCCGCATGGCTTATAACTGTACAGACGAATCTTCGCAGACATCCGTTTCGGGAAGCCTGCGCACATCGGCATTGCAATACCTCCCTGGCGCGCTTAGGGCGGCAGGCGGTGGGCTGACATGGTCTGGGCAGCGGCATGCACTTGGAATCCAGTGCCCCTCTGTTGTGAGGCAGTTCTATAGGAGGGGGGTACAGAGGGCAGGGTGTTTACACAGTTGGGAGGAATCAGTGAATTCAGCATGGGGCGGGCTTGAAGTGCCTCGAAAATACGCGCACCCCAACCGTCAGCATCTGGTATACATGTGGATCACATGTATACCAGATAGCCTCATAGTTTCCTCTATAGTAATAGACCAACGACGGAATCCAAGCATGCACCCTTTTGCTGCGAGAGTGTTCGGTGTCACCCCCTTATGGTGCCGCGAACCGAGTGGAGTGCGTGCTGAATTGGCATGGGGCAGCAGAAAGCGGCCTGTGCTACAGGGGCCTTCGGTGAAACGTTATGGGGCCACGACTGGCTCGAACGGCGTCCGGAAACTGAATTGGCGGAGACAAAGCGAAGATCCACCATGCAGGAAATAATATAATCCTAGTGAAGGGGGCCGAACGGTCATTCACTGTCCCTGGGTGCGTGGCTGAAGTGGGATCCCGCGGTGCGGATTATTATTGTTGTTGATGTTGTTGATGTTGCTGTTGTTGTTGCTGTTGTTGTTGTTGTTGATATTGTTGCTGTTGTTGTTGTTGAACATTATTAATTCTAAAGAATAATTATTGTTGGGCCCCCTGGTGCACGCCCCCCCCGCCGCGCCTAGGCCGCAGCTACATTTTCATCATTTTCGTGAGGAAGCCTCAGGTAATTCGATGTGATCAAGATCCGGTTGTTTTGTTCCCCCCCGCTTTCCCTTGCAAAAAACACTATAAAATGACATTTCTTGTTCTAATATAATCAAATTTCAAGAATCCCTTGCAAAAAATAAGGTAAAGTGGACATTCGCGCGCGCAAGACGAAATCCTTCCAAAAGCTTAGTGTTCGGAGCGATTTTAACATAAAAACATCAAAAAACCAATGGTTTTTCAACAAAAAAATGTCAAAATCTCATCCCGCGCGCTCTTGCGGATTCGTAGGAAACCCAACACTTTTTAAACATTTCTGTCAAACGGGCTTTTGCGAGCAACTTTTTCGAACTTCTGCGACAACGGTTGCGCACCTGCCAGGGCCATCATCCCTGTCAAATAATACCATGCGGGACACATTCGTTTTTTCTTCGCGCGCGCACGCCGAAATCTCCAAAAACCATTGGGTTCTTAAGAATTTTAGCACCGCGCATCATAAAATCACAAAATTACCAACTCCGCTCTTCTGTCTGTCTGCTCTCTGTCTCTCTCTCTGTCTCTCTGTATTATGTATTGTATGGCACAATTGCACCATGCTGGGCACATGCGCGCCCCGAATAAGTGACCAAGTTCTGTGGGTGTGTACCCCACGCCAGTGTAGTAGCCACGGTCGTCCGCACGCCACGAAGTGAAGTGTCCCAACGTCATAGGGCGGGAAGCTGGGTTTGGGTGGTCGCGAAGAGTCGTTTGGATATTTGGTAGAGCTTGTAATGCCCCCCCACGAAGTGGGGGTATTGCCTGGTGTCGTATGAAAACCCTGGCACTGGGGAGAACACCACGCGTTCGGGTAAAATGATTGTTGTTGTTGTTGTTGTTGTTGTTGTTGTTGTTGTTGTTGTTGTTGTTGTTTATATTGTGCTGTTTGTTGTTTGTTGATTGGTGATTGTTATTTGTTGTTTGTTGTTTGTTGGTGTTGTTGTTTGTTGTCGTCGCCCTACCCGCAACCCGCCCCGCGACCCACCCGCGACCCACCCCGCGACCCACCCGGCGACCCACCCCACAACCCACCCGCGACCCACCCGCGACCCATCCCGCGACCCGCGAGCCACCCCGCGACCCACCCCGCGACCCACCTCGCGACCCACCCGCGACCCACCCCGCGAGCCACCCGCGACCCACCCCGCGACCCACCCCACAACCCACCCCGCGACCCACCCGCAACCAACCCGCGAGCCACCCGCGACCCACCCCGCGACCCGCCCGCGGCCCACCCCGCGACCTACCCGCGACCCACCCCGCGACCGCCCACCCGCGACCCCCGCGACCCACCCGACCCACCCGCGACCCACCGCGACCCACCCGCGACCCACCCCGCCCACCCGCGACCCACCCACCCGCCCCACCCCACCCGCGACCCACCCGCGACCCACCCCGCGACCCACCCGCGACCCACCTTCGACCCAAAACACGTTCAAGGTACAAACCACCACTTTCGGCGCCTGCGGCCGGTGGAGAGCCCGCGACCCACCCCGCGACCAACTCGCGACCCAAACCGCGCTCAGGATACAAACCACATGTTTCGGCGCCTGCGGCGGGCATCTCTTGCATTCGCTCCAGGTGGAGAGCCCGCGGCCCACCCGCGACCACGTTCAGGGTACAAACCAAATTTGTCGGCGCCTGCGGCGGGCATACAAACCAAAATGTTCGGTGCCTGCGGCGGGCTGCTTTCGAATTCCTTCCAGGTGGAGGTGGAGAGCCCGCGACCCACCCGCGACCCAAACCAAGTGAACTGAACAAACCAATGCCGCACAAGCGCGGCGACGGAGTTTTGCATGCCGTCTGAGCCCGCAACGACCTCTTCAAGCCCCGCGCATCCACACCACCCCGTCCAGCAACTTTGCCCTGGCAAATTGCCTTGATCAGAGATGCCGGGGAATGATTGCGTTGCCGTGATATTGGGAACGGAGGGATAGGCAGGAGGAGTAAACAGGGGACGAGGAGGACGCGGAAGGAGAGAGGATTTAAGGAGAATGTGGAGAAAGAAGGGGAGGAGAAGCAGGAGGACGAAGAGGGGGAGGAGGAGGACGAAGAGGGGGAGGAGTGGGAGGAGGGGGAGGATGATGATGATGATGGAAGACAATGGGAGGACGATGATGGAGGCCGATGAGGGGGAGGACGACAATTGGAGGACGATGATGGAAGGGCGAGGGGGGGAGAGGGAGGGCGAGGAAAAAGAGGAGGAGGAGGACGAGGTGGAGGAGGATGACGATGACGATGAGGACGAGGACGAGGAGGGAGGAGGAGGAGGAGGAGGAGGAGGCGGAGGAGGAGGAGGAGGAGGAGGAGGAGGAGGAAGAGAGCGCCATCGACAAGGATGGTGGGAGCCACGAGGTCCGCCGGCTCGACGACGCCCGCGTCGCCCGCGCCCGCCCCCTCACTCTTATCCGCAAATGCGGGGTGCTACGTACAAGAAAGGGGTTGAAGCGGTTTGGAGGAGGAGGCGGTGGTAGAGGAGGGGGAAGACATGAGAGGAGGCGTTCAGCGCTGCGGGTTCACAACGAGGATCTAACAGACAGGAGGATTAGGGAAAACACGACGGCCTCCAAGAGCTCCATTACACTACTCTTCAGATGGCTCAAATGCCTCCGAGTCGCCTCCAAGACAAGCGAACGACGGCTCGAACACAAACCGAATCCGCTGCAACGCAATTTCAAGGGGTACCAGGGAGTCACCAAAATGCCCCGCGAGAGAAAAAAAACACAAAACCTTGATACGGCACTGCTACAAGACCTCGAAATAGCTCCAGGACGGCCCACTGAAGGCCCTGCTCAGGCTCCACCAGCTCATTCTCGCACATCCAGCGTGGTATAATCTGGAGGCAACATCGGTTGACTCCCCCGCCCACACCCCAACGACAGGACAACTCTGGGACCCAGACAGCGCTTTGGATCCTCAGTCGCAGCGGACTCGAGGGCCCTGGGTGCCCTGCCGAGCCCGTGCCAGGCCCCTCTGGACATGTCAAAAACCACCGCCGAGGGTAGTCCAGACCCACCGCCGCGGTCGCGCCCATGAGGGCCGCGGCGGGTTCGGAATCCCCACGGCAGTCCTCCCAAGCGTGTTAAAAAACGATGCCGAGGGGAGTCCGGACCCACCGCGGGGGGCGGGGGTCCGGATCCACCGCGGGCCCATGGGAGCCTTCGCGGAGCCTCCCCTGGGCATCCCCGCAAAGCCTTTTGCCCCCACCCCGAGCCCTGCCCACCGCCCCTGTCTCTGCCCCTCGTCTCCCTTCCTTTCTGCCCCTACGCCCCCCTCGTTGATCCTGCCTCCAATACCGTCCTTCCACTCACTGTGTCAGCTCCGAGCCTCACCAAGGTATAGCTAGTGCAATACAACCAACATTGTCTGAGCGCATCTCATCGGAGGCGCCCCTCGGCCACATCATCTTTCAAATCGTGACCCTGACATCGATCCTTCCCATCATGTTGGTCCGCCTTTCCGTCTCTTCCCTTCTGCCCCTCAGAAGCAAAGCGAAGCTGACGGAAAAAAACAACAGTGTCTGCACGCAGTGCGAAAATGGACAAGACACCCGACACACGCGAACACATGGAGTCCGCATGCGAAATCTACCACAAAGGCCTCTGGTGGAGCTCCCCATGAATCCACCAACCGTGTGCAGACTGTGCTGATATGGTCTGGGCGGCGGCAGACTGCCTGTGCCGCAAAACCCTTCGGTTGAACTCCCAATGGGCCTGTGAATCGCGCGAGGCAACGCTGCATTGTCTTGGGCCGGCGGCATGCGGTCTGTGCTCCAAATTTGGCGACTAAACATGTGGGCGGGGTGCCAACAGGGTCTGGGCGGCGCAATGCGGCATGTGCAACGAACGCCTGCGACGGGATTCCCTATGGGGCCACGAACCGTGAGGGGCGCGTGCCAAATGGTCTGGGCGGCGGCGGCGGATTGCGCCTGAAGACCCTGCAGTGGAGATTCCTAATGCGGCCGCGGATCGCGTGAGGACTGCTGCAATGGTTTGGGCGGCGGCGCGCGGCCTGCGTCGCGAGCGTTTTCGGCGAAACCCCTCGTGGTGTCACGAAGCGCACAACTGGCGTGTCGAAATGGTCTGAGCGGCAGCATGCGCCCTGTGCGACAAAAGCTTTCGATGGGGCTTCGTATGGGGCCACGGACCGTTCGATGGGCGCGCTGCAACGGTCTGCGCGGTGGCACGCGACCTGGCCCCCCAAAACAAATCGGTGCAGTTCCACGGGGGTGCGCGAAGCGTGCGCCGAATGAACTGAGATGGTCTGGGCGGTGGTCAGCGGCCTACGCCACAAGGCATTCGGAGGCGTTCCCCATGGGTCCACGAATGGCGTGGCGGGCGCTTTGAAATGGCCCGGGCGCGGCGCGCGGCCTGCGCCGCAAGGGCTGCGGTGGAACTCCAAAAACATGGAGGCGCGAACCGCAACAAAAAGGCAGCCATAAATACTCTGGGCAGCGGCATGCGGCTTGTGCTTTGCGAACTTTCGGTTCAGCTCCTTACGGGGCCACGAACGGCGCGCCACTGGTTCTGGCATGGTCTGCGAAGCGGCGTGCGACCGCAACGAGTCGGTAGCGGTGCGGATGGGGCCATGACCCGTGCGATGGGCGTGCTGGACTTGTCGCGGCACCAGCATGCAACATGCGCCAAAGGGACTTTCAATGGCAAATCTTTTGGGAGCAACGAACAGCGCGCGGCGCGAAGGGCGCCCTGAAATTGCCTCGACGCGGCTACAAATTGAGGGTGAGATGAGGAGACGAGAGAAGAGGAGAAGGCCCGAACTCAAAGCGAGGACCTAACGCGCGGGAGGGCTGGGAACAACAACCACGAAAACATCGAAGGCCACCCGCGACAAACGCGCGCCGCGCGCGCGCCGGGCAAACCAGCGGAGCGCCAGGCACGCGAGGCAGGAGGCCTCACTGGGCACAGCACACGCGCAAAACGAAAATCACATAAACGCACAAACCTCGCCACGTAGATAGCGGAATGACCTGCCAACGCGCGCGCGCACGATGCTGGCACCGCCCCGCGCTGCAAGGAACTCCCGACCGCGCAGCCATCGCGAGGCCCCCAATGGCGCCTCACACTAAATGTGTCTTGACAGTAGTGTTTGTTCGGAACGGGACCAGGCCCTAGAGGGCGAGCGAGGACCTGCAATTCCCTGTCCAGCGACGCCAGCAATGAAAGCCGCCGAGCTCGCGCGCGCTACAACCATCGACGGAAGCACCAGCCTCAAGCCGTGCGGACACACTGGCATACGTTAGTTCATCTCGCTTCAGCCCGCGACCAACACGGCGCTCAACGCGCGCCCGTCCAGGGCCCGCCGCGGGCCACAGCCCTCGACGCCCTCCAGGGGCGCGGTTGATTCGTTCCGATTGTCTGGTAAGCATTGACTCGCGCCGATAACCCGGAGAAGCAATTAAGGAACCCCCCGGCGTTATCATTAGCACCGCGCCGTAATTAAATAATTATTTTTTTTTTGGGGGGGGTTCGCCGAGCGATATTATTAGCACCGCGCACATGGAAGGAACATAAATAATTCCAGCGCCCCGCCTCGGGTGGCATCCCAATTAGAATTGTAATGAACATAAGAATACGAATACGAATAAGGAAAAACTTAGAAAAGCTAAGGGAAAAGGTTAGAAAAGCTAAGAAAAAGCTCAGAAAAGCGGAGGAAAGCTGAGGAAAGGCTAAGACAAGCTAGGAAAAAGCTAAGAAAAGCTAAGGACAAGATCAAGAAAAGCTAAGAAAAGCGAAGAAAAGCTAAGGAACAGCTGAGAAAAGCTAAGGACAACTAATGAAAAGCTAAGGAAAACTATTGAAAAGCTAAGGAAAAGCCAAGGAAAACTAAGGAAAACTTAAGAAAAGCTGAAGAAAACAAAGGAAAAGCTAAGGACAAGCTAAGGACAACTAAGGAAAAGCTAAGGAGAACTTGTGACCCTCGCAGTGACCCTCGCAGAGTACCCCCAAGGCCTGAGTACGGAGGAAGTCCAAGGCGGGAGCCTTGTCTGTGAGCGCGTCCTCCTCCGTGTCCTCCTCCTCCTCTTCCTCCTCCTCCTCCTCCTCCTCCTTCTCTTCCTCCAGCCCCCATTTTTCTAATGAGATTTCTATTGCAACCCCTTTGGGAAACATATTTTTTTCGGCCGTCGTAGGAGGTGGTCCATCCCAGGGTATCGCCCCCACCCCGCACCGCGGCGTTATCTTAGCACCCGGCAGGACCAAAATAAATCCCCGAGCCAGAGTAGGAGTGGATCAGTGTACATGGTTACGGCACCGAACAGCGAGGGTCGAGCACTGGAAAGACGCGCGGCCACTGAAGGTCTCTGACTCCTCCGCATGCGTTTCCTCATTCTTTCAGGAGGGTGCACCCCCTCCTGGTGCCAGGATAACGCTTCCGGGTGCCGGGTGCGTTATCTTTTCACCGGAGAGGGGGGGGGGGTCCTTAATCGCTTATCCGGGTTATGCGCCGCCCTCCAGATCCTGCAGCCTTCGCCAGCGCCCGAGGCGCCTCGCCTCTGAGGCCAGCCAGGCCTCGCGGCGGAGCTCCGCTGCGCTCCGCCATCGCTCTCGCTCCGCGCCCGCCTCCGCCGGGCCCCCAAAAAGCGGGTCGAACTGAGGGGCGCGCAGGGCATTGACGACCAAGGGCTCGCACAGCTCCGTCCATTGGCGATCCGCACCCAGCAAAATCCACGCCGCTGGACCGGGGCCAGGTCGCGCTCCGCGAGCATCGCGCAATACTCCGTCGCGCACTGCCGCCTGCCTGTCGGCGCCCCAGGCCGCGCCCACCTTCTCGCGTCGCCAGCTGGGTCGGGGGATTCGCGGCCGCGTCGTCAGCCACGTCGCCGCATAGCGCGCCGGGCGCTCGGCTCGATGTCGGACCACCAGTCCATTCCACCACCATTGGCGGGGGCTTTCGACTCCGCCCGCTGATCAAATGGGGCCCCTTCGCCGCGTCCCTGCTGATCCGGGCTGGTCGCCGAAACCGCTGCTGCCTTCTCCGCGCTGTCACCGTGGTCCTCCCGCGCTGCCTCGAGGGTGCGCCGCCTTCTCCTCGAAGGTGCGGGCGCGGGCCTCTGGTCGGCCGCTGCCGGGGGGCGCCCCGTGGCACCCTCTTTCGGCGCCGAGGCTGCAGCTGCCCACCCGCATTCCCAGGGCCCTGATGCCACCATCCTCAGCGCGGTCGCCCAGGCGCCTCCACGGCTTGGGGTTGCACGCGCTCCGGCACAAGTGCTTCTGGGGACCGCTGCGAACGCGCGTCGGCCACGCCGTCGGCACCTCGATTCTCCACGCTCGATCTCCTCCAGGTCGTGCTCCGCAGGGGCGAGGGATACACCCGCGGCCCACCCCGCCCTCCCGCTGCTCTGGGCGCTCCGCGGTGTCGCCCCAAATCTCGGTCTGCTCGTGCCACTGGCCGATATTGTGTAGCGCCCAGGCCACCCTGTCGGCAGCTTCTGGCACGGCCGGCTCCCTGCCGAAACCAACGTCTCCTTCGGCTGTCAGCCTGGCGAGCGCGTCGACCGCCCTGTTGCCTTGCGCCGCCCGCCGCTCCACGGGCTCCAGCGCCTCGATGGCCGCTAGACTGCGGCGCGCCCTGCAGTGCTCCACCGCGCCCAGCGGCACGTCCTTGTCGTCGCTGGCGAGCCGGATCAAGCGCCGGGCGTCCGCGCGCGCCCGCTGCCCGCAATGGCGCCGCCGCCGCCCTCGCTCGAGGCCCGTGACGATGGCCAGGTGGTCACGTGGTCAGTGTAGATCTAAAGCGGCTCGCAGCCGCCCATTGCCTGATCTCGGCGTGCCTTAGAGCGACCGGGAAGGACCGCAGCTCTGCCCGCTCGATGGCCCGCTGCACTGGCAGCTCCACGGGCAGGGGCCCCGCGCCACGACGCGCACTCCGCCGCGGGGGCGTGCCGACAGCGTTGCCCAGCCAGTCTGCGCCCATAGCGACCTCCCCAGCCTGGGGCCGCTTAGACGATCACGCCTTCCCAGAGGATCCGCATGTGCTAACGCAAGGCTTGAGATATGGCATAGAAGTACAAGGATTAGCCTAAGACTTGAGATTTTAGACTTACCCTTTGATAACATGGATCTGTTCTTTATTTCAGTGCGCATTCCGTGAAGCGTTTCTTTCGGTGCATATTGCATGCGCCACGACGCTGAATGCTTACTTTTTTCGTTCGGCGGCTCGAAAGACAGATCCAGCGAGCGGGAATGACGTCTGGGCCACAGAGCGAGATAATTGGCTGCAGAGGCGCATAGGCCGCTGTAGCGAGTGCACATGCCAAGGAAAAAGTGACCCTCATTGGGGACCGACGCAGGCGGCCCAGCGGATGGGGACGCAAGCACGGTGCCGGAAGCGGACGGAAAGGAGCAGTCGCACAAACGGCGCCAAGCTCCGGCCGAACCGCACAGCACGAAAAGGCGTCAAGCACGCCGCGCTGTAGCGGCACGGGGTGGCCAGGCGTGGCCAGCACCGTCCAAGCACAACACAATGCAGGTGAGGCAAGAGGGAACAGGAGAGACACAGCGGACACCAGAAGGGCACCCGGCGGCCGGAAAAGGAGACAGGCACAAAGAGAAGCCTCACACGCGGTGACTCACTGCTGTAGACGTCAAGTCTGCCGCTCTTGGGCGTGAGAGCGACTGGTACCCAGTCAGCGGACCTGTCGTCAATGCCGTCAGTGTCCACAGCATGCAACTTGTCCGACACGAAGATCGGGGGCGCAAAGTTGCAAGCGCTGGCCGAGGCACCTGAACGAGGGGCCAGCCGGGGGAACCGCGATGACCTGCCAAAGGATGAACCACTTGTGCAGGAGCTTGAACGCGAGGGCGACGATACCAGCCAGCGAACCTGACGTCGAAGCCGCCGGCGTCCACCGCGTGCAACTTATCCGACACGGAAGATCGGGGGCACAAAGTTGCATGCTTTGACCGAGGCACCCGTGCGAAGGACCAGCCGGGGGAACCGCGATGACCCGCCAAAGGATGAACCACTTGTGCAGGAACACGCCCATGCCAGGCCCGACATCGGGTGGTACCAGAAGCGGGTGAGGTGCGCCAGTCTTCACCTTACCGAAGTCCAGCCCCTGTAGCGCCCTGAAACGTACCATGTGGGCCAGACCCGCAGGTGGGGGTGGCCCGCTGGCCGCTGTGGCGGTGACCGTGGGGAGGGGTGGAAACCACTCCCACGCGTCGTCGCGACAGCGTGCTCAGCTGGCGACCAGCCGATGCACCACGTCATGTCCGGCCGGGGAGTCTGGGGGAAATCGCTGCTGTGGTGTCTAGCGCAGGGGGGCTCTGTGCGACGCGATGAGGACCTAGTTGTCTGCTGGCACGGCTGGGAACAAGATTCTGGGCCATTGTGACCCGCTGTGGTGGCTGAACCTGTCAGCTCCGCAGTCACTATGTCCCGTCGCAACGCTGGGGGCGCAGCCAAGAGCCGCAGAGACTCGTGAATGAACGTGGGGGGTGCAACCAAGTGCCGTTGGCGCGACGGCCATGCCTCCACGCTTGGACCGTGCCACGGCGCCGGCACGTCCTCAGCCGAGGCACGCTTCGCTCTGGGGCATTGTGACCCGCTGGGGTGGCTGAATCTGTCAGCTCCCCAGTCACGATGCCCCTTCACAACGCTGGGGGCGCAGCCAAGAGCCGCAGAGACTTGTGAATGAACGCGGGGGGTGCAACCAAGTGCCGCTGGCACGACAGCCATGCCCGGGGCCTCCGCGCGTGGACCGTGCCACGGCGCTGGCACGTCCTTTACCAATGCACGCTTCGCTGAGGGCCATAGTGACCCGCAGGGGTGGCTGAAACTGTCAGCTCCCCTGTCGCGATGTCCCTTCACAACGCTGGGGGCGCAGCCAAGAGCCGCAGAGACTTGTGAATGAAGGTGGGGGGTGCAACCAGGCGCCGCGGCACGGCAACCGTGCCCGGGGCCCCCACGCTTGGACTCGACCAAAGCACTGTCGAATTCCCAGCCAAGGCACACTTCGTTGAGGGCGCAGCCAAGAGCTGCAGAAACAAGTGAATGGAGAGCGGGGGAAGGAGGAGGAGGAGGGGAAGCAAGTCCAACCCGGCGCTGGGTGACAGCCCAGTCGCCTTCGCGGGGCAGGATCGAACTCGGTGATCAGGATGGGGGACGCCGCCAAGAGCTGCACGGAGTGGTGGACTTGTCGGAGAGGGGCGCGGCCAAGAGCCGCAGAGACCTTAAGTGGTAAGATGCAGGGGAGAAGCCAGCGGTCGTTGGACACGGTAGGCGACCCCCACCTGCTGTCGAGCCATATGCTATTGAAAGGTGGAGCGCTGGAGGTAGGTTGTTTCAGCCACCAGTCCCTGCCGTCCAAAGTGGGTGCCCCTGAGGGGCAGCACTGGCGGCCCCCTGTCCCGTGGGGTGGTCAGGTCTATGGGCTGGCGGTGCGGCAGTAGGTTACCCAGTCATTGCCGACCTCGATGCCAGACGGGGTAGGACGCGGGGGGGGGGGGGGCTATTTCAGCCACCGGGCACTCCGTCCAGAGTGGATCCACGAGACCAGCGTGGCCTGTCTAGTTCGCGGCGCACGTGTATTAGTGCACCACAGACCCAAAGGAGGTAGCACGGGGCATTATGGCCGAAGCCTAGCGCTGCGATGAAACTTACCCATGTCGTAGCCAGGAGCATCCATATGGAAAACTTCGACCGTGGGGTGGCTGACGCTCCCCGCCGGCCTCAATCCACAAGCTCAACATCGCTGCTCGAGGCGAAGGGCCGATTGAGGACCACGGGGCTGCCAACCCAGCGGGCTCCACCAGGCGCAGCGGGATCCCAGATGGCCCACAGGGTCAGCGCAATAGAAACCACCGTGTATGAGGAGGTGGAGGCTGCGCCCAGCTGTCCGAGATCATTGTTGTCCAGGAGGCGCGCGCTGCGTTCCATGACGGGCCGAGTCGCGACTCTGAGAACTGACATGGTCCAGAGCACCAGAGATGGACTCGAGCCGCAGAAGGGCTGCACGTACCACCCTCATCAGAGGACGGGCGACAGCGGAGGTGGTGGGGACAAGCTAGGTGCGCTCGCGTCATATCTGACGTCCTACCCCTCCCCCCCATCCCTTACCATGGCGCTGATTTTCTCTATCCGCGGACGCGTGTCGTAGCGGACCTGTGGCTCCGCGCGCGCGTGCGTAGTGGGTGGTGTTGCGCGTGCGTGCGTGCGTGCGTGTGTGCGTGGTTGTGGTGGTGTTGTTGGTGGTGGTGGTGGTGGTGCTGGTGGTGGTGGTGCTGGTGGTGGTTGTGATGGTGGTGGTGGTGGTGGTGGTGGTGCGGCGCGGTGGTGGCGGGCGGATGGGCGCGCGAGAAAGAGGCCCGCGCTGGGGCGAGAACGCCATCCTGACGACGGAGGCCAAACACCGATCCGAAAATGAGGCCCACGCTGCAGCGGGAGCACGATTCGGAACGATTCGGGGGCAGAAATGAGGCCGGCGCCTCAGCGAGAGCAGCATTAAAAAAAGTAGCCTGGCGAAGGACCCAACCATATGCAGTTGTGAGTAATGCTGGTGTGAGTACCGTCTTCGGTGGATCTCCCTATGGGGCCACGAACCGTTTGAGGGGTGTGCCGACATGGGTGTGGGGGCGGCATGCGAACGTTGCCGCTGGGGCCTTCGGTGGAGCTCCTTATGGGGCCACGAAACGTGTGAGGGGTGCACCGAAGTTGGTGTGGGGGCGGCATGGGAACGCAGCCGCTGGCCTTCGGTGGAGCTCCCTGTGGGGCCACGAAACGCGTGAGGGGTGTGCCGACATGGGTGTGGGGGCGGCATGCGAACGCAGCCACTGGGTCCTTCGGTGGAGCTCCCTATGGGGCCGCGAAACGTGTGAGGGGTGTGCCGGAATGTGTGTGGGGCGCATGCGAACCCAGTCACTGGGGCCTGCAGTGGAAATCCCCATGGGGCCACGAAACGTTTGACGGATGTGCCGAAATGGGTGGTGGGGGCGCATGCGAACCCTGCCACTGGGGCCTTCGGTGGAGCTCCCTATGGGGCCACGAAACGTGTGAGGGGTGTGCCGAAATGGGTGGTGGGGAGGCATGCGAACCCTGCCACTGGGGCCTTCGGTGGAGCTCCCTATGGGGCCACGAAACGTGTGAGGGGTGTGCCGAAATGGGTGGTGGGGAGGCATGCGAACCCTGCCACTGGGGCCTTCGGTGGAGCTCCCTATGGGGCCACGAAACGTGTGAGGGGTGTGCCGAAATGGGTGGTGGGGAGGCATGCGAACCCTGCCACTGGGGCCTTCGGTGGAGCTCCCTATGGGGCCACGAAACGTGTGAGGGGTGTGCCGAAATGGGTGGGGAAGCATGCGAACCTGCCACTGGGGCCTTCGGTGGAGCTCCCTATGGGGCCACGAAACGTGTGAGGGGTGTGCCGAAATGGGGGTGGGGAGGCATGCGAACGCAGCCACTGGGGCCTTCGGTGGAGCTCCCTATGGGGCCACGAAACGTGTGAGGGGTGTGCCGAAATGGGTGGTGGGGAGGCATGCGAACGCAGCCACTGGGGCCTTCGGTGGAGCTCCCTATGGGGCCACGAAACGTGTGAGGGGTGTGCCGAAATGGGTGGTGGGGAGGCATGCGAACCGCTGCCACTGGGGCCTTCGGTGGAGCTCCCTATGGGGCCACGAAACGTGTGAGGGGTGTGCCGAAATGGGTGGTGGGGAGGCATGCGAACCCTGCCACTGGGGCCTTCGGTGGAGCTCCCTATGGGGCCACGAAACGTGTGAGGGGTGTGCCGAAATGGGTGGTGGGGAGGCATGCGAACCCTGCCACTGGGGCCTTCGGTGGAGCTCCCTATGGGGCCACGAAACGTGTGAGGGGTGTGCCGAAATGGGTGGTGGGGAGGCATGCGAAACTGGGGCCTTCGGTGGAGCTCCCTATGGGGCCACGAACGTGTGAGGGGTGTGCCGGCATGCCACTGGGGCCTTCGGTGGAGTTCCCTATGGGGCCACGAAACGTGTGCGGGGTGTGCCGAAATGGGTGGTGGGAGGCATGCGACCCTGCCACTGGGGCCTTCGGTGGAGCTCCTTATGGGGCCACGAAACGTGTGAGGGGTGTGCCGAAATGGGTGGTGGGGAGGCATGCGAACCCTGCCGCTGGGGCCTTCGGTGGAGCTCCCCATGGGGCCACGAAACGTGTGCGGGGTGTGCCGAAACTGGTGGTGGTGATGATGATGATGATGATGATGATGATGATGATGGGAGGAGGGAGGGGGGGAGGAGGAGGAGGTGAGGAACGCGGGGCGCCGTCTCTTCAAAACGAGGACGCAACACCACAGGATGGTTGGGACAAAAAAACGCAAGCGAAAACCCGTTTCCCGGGAATCCTGCGTGTAAAAAACAGTACGCGGGGGGGGGGTCGGCCATCTTCGGGACGCCATCAGGGGAAGTGGGAGAGTATTTTCATATTGTGTAACTGTGAAGAAGCGAGGTGGGGGGGGCGGCCGAGAGCGTGCACGGGGAAAAAGCCATGTCGGCGCGAGCCGCGGCGTTCCCGACGCTTGCGGTGGGGGGGGGGGGGGGCGCGAACCGAGCTGGCCCACTTGCGCCCCGATCACTTGGGTCGGAAGTCCCACCCCCGCGGGCGCTTGTCTGCGTACTGGGTTTCCCCTCTGGGCGAAAACCGCTTACCCTTCGCCTTCCAGTCAGTGTCAATCCATGTATCCCGCTGATGGTCCCACGCGCCCCAGGACTGCCATGCACGCCACGGTGCGTCTGACCCAGATGCCCCTGACCATGCAGCATCCCTGCCTTCAGTGGTCCATGGGGGGGGGGGCCCTTGCAACCTCCTTGCCTTCGACGGTCCATGGGGGTGGGCGTCCGCTGCCGACGGGCCCGTCGGCGGTGCGCGGTCTGGCGTCGCGTTGCGTAAGTTTGCGATGCTTCTCCATGACACTCGGCCAGTCGACGTGGAGTTGGAATTATCTATCCATCTTGTAGACGTGAAATCCAATTTTGCTCCATGCCTGGAGGAAATCGCTGCATTGGTGTGCTGAGTTTAACCTGGGATAGGACTTGATGTAGGTACTCCCTTGACTGAGGGCTGCCTTCCTGACCCAGGCGCTCCAGGCTCCGTTAAACGCGCCTCCCAGCGCCTTCTGCATCCGTGTGATCTTGTCGGGTGCTGGTTCGCCCCTTGCAACGTCTGCCTCGTCGATAGACCTCAAGTACATGGGGAGACCTCTCACGGGGTCGTCAGGGCGCGCTGCGGGTATTGTCGCAGTCCGCGCGTCGTTCCACGAGTCCTGGGTGTTGCGCCATGGTCTGGATGAGTTGCGAGGCGGCGGCGTGGCTGAGCGCTGTCTGGTACTGACTTAGTCAACCGTGGGTGCACGGCGGCCACCTTCGCCCCCCGAGTATCTAAGAGTCCTGCCGTCGCTGCCTGCGTGAAGGCTCCGGGTCCGACCCTCTCTGGGGCGGGGGTCGCCTAGGGTGCACCCGTCACTGGGTGTTCCTCTGGCGGGACCAGGCTTCTCCGTCTGCCCTGAGGGGAGAGCGGGGGGGGGGCTCTGGGCCATCGTCGTCCGTGGGGGCTGCAACGCAGGCGTCGTCCTCCGGATGGGTAGGGCTGACCTGCGATCCGGAGTCAACTGAGATGTCCTGCGGGCTGGAGCTCGCCTGGGCGTCCGCTTCGGAATTCTTGCCAGCCTCGTCGCCCCAGTCGATCCCTTCCACATCGCCATCGCCATTCCGGCGCTCTGGTGAGGACGGCTCCTCTTCTGGGACTGCATTGGACTGGCCAGGTACGGCGGGCTGCTGGGGCGGCACGTTAGCGCGAGTCGGGGGTGCACCGTGATCCCCAACATGGCGGTCGGCTGCGGGCGATTCCTTCCTCCAGGGCCTGTTGAGCCAGCTGGCGGCAGGAGACTCGTCACGGGCTGTGCCTCTAGCCGTCTCATTCTGGGGCTGGGCGGCGAGGTGCTCGATAGTTCCTCTGGTCAAGTCGGAGTTCTCCAGCCTGGTGAGGAACGCCGCGAGGACGTGCAGCGGCTGACGGCAGGGGCCCTGTCCTTTCTGGTTGGCGAGGTTGCCTGCGTAGCGATCCCAGTCCTCCTGATACTTTGGGTTGCTCCCCACCAGGTGTGAGACTACCCTGTCTGCCGCTGCCCTCTGCCCGTCCCATGGGATGCGCGGAGGGCGGCCATCGATTGGGATTTCTTCTCCGTATACCGACTCCAGAAAAGGGGAGTAGCTGCTCGGTCGGCCACCTAGTTTCGTCGGTTATGTCGCCCTCAATGCTCTCCCCCTGGCGCCGTGCAAAGGCGGCCCAGAGAGTGTATATTGCGTGGCTCCACTCGACCAGGTATTTCACCAGGCCACGAACTGGGCCTCTTGACTCGCCCCCTTCCAGACAGAGTGGAAAGCGTGGGCAGCTGAGGAACCGGGGGCGGAGGCAGGTCGTGGAGGGAGTATCTGTTGGAGGTCCTGTCGACTGCACCATCTTGTTTGCCGGACTTTTTGTAGTGCAGTGCAGAGCGGTCCTCGTGGGGTGGGACACGTGTGTCCGCGTCCTCCCCTGGCGCCCTGCTACCGGGGGAGAGGTGCGCGGACACGTCGTAGCTGTAGCTGTCCTCAGGCATTTCTGATGTGGTCTGCCGCTTGGTAGGGATAGCGGGGTATACCTCGGTTGAATAATGGTCGAGAATGAGGTCGAGGACGCCAGGTGCAACGTTCCAGATGTGTACGAGGCACCTCCTGCAGGCCCATTCCGCGTTCCACTGCTGTTTGATCCATGGCGAAGGCATTAAACCCCGCGGTGGCAGGCCTGTCTGTTCGTTGAACATTGCTTCTGCCTCAGGGCGCCAAATGAAGCATCCGAGAGCAGGCCGGCCAGGTTTCCATTCAAGCAAAGGTGACCCGGGGGGACAGGTGTCGCACGTGGCTGAGTACACTTTCGTGCGATGCGTTTCGGCACTGAACCTACCATCAGCAAGCCCGTGGGGTGGGAGGGTGGTGCCGGCTCTTGATGGCTGGAAGGCGCGCGGCGCGCGCATGACGATGTCCTTCAAGGTGGAAGGAGTAGGAGCTTCGTTAGGACGCCCGAGCCCGAGCGGTAGGCTGGTCAGTGATGGGAGGGTTCGGGCTTTCTTGCGTGCGCGTGTCTCTTCCAGTCTGCGCTTGTACTCCTGCAGGAGCTGCTGCATAGTCTTCTTAGTACCGCCGTCAGCATGGTTGGGGTCGGGATCCTCGACTCCCCTTCTCTCCAGGGACCTGACCCAGCACATCTCGCAGAGCCATCTGCAATTCTTTCCCTTTATGTATGCCTGCGCGCGGTTCTGTGCTAGCAGTTCACGCGTGTCATCGTCCTCCCAGGTGCCAGCTGCGCCCTGCATCCCCGTGTTGGCGCAGTCGTCGCAGTTGTAGCTGGCACTCTGTTGCAGCCTGCAGAATCTCTCAGGCTGCTGAATGCTTAAGCCTCGCGTGAAGTCAGTGGTAAACCTTGCCAAAATCAGCCGATGGCGGCGCTTGGGCCAAATGTGTCATGTGATCGTTGAGGGTGCACGTGATCTCCGATGGAAAATTCGTTGCCACGCGTTGCCGCGGGGTGCGTTTGCTCGTGGAATGGGCGCTCGGGGGTATGATGGGGAGCAAACGCGTCGCACTCAGCGCGCCCAGCGCACCTTTCAAACGTATATCAACGTCCTGCGAGTGATAAGGGCGCAGTCAATTACCTGTCCGCCAGTTCGGCGGTGGACAAAAACTGCAATTACTGCCCAAAGCGCTGGGCACGGGCGCAAGATGCCGATCGTTTCCACGCGTCTGTCTTTTCCGAGGGCAGCGAAGGGAAGCACCAGGATGCCACCCCGCCAAAACAGACGTGGCGCACTCGAGCCAATGGCGAAAGAGAGGAAGAGGAAGAGAAGGAGGAGGAGGAGGAGGAGGAGGAGGCGGTGGAGAAGGAGCAAAGAGAGGAGGAGGAGGAAGAAGGAGGACGAGGACAAGGAGGAGGAAAAAAAGATGAAGGAGAGAATGGCGATGATGGCGATGACGATGATGATGAGGAGGAGGATGGGGAGGAGGAGGAGAAGGAGGAACCCGTCTCCTCCTTCTCCTCCTCTTCCTTCTCCTCCTCCTCCTCCCCTCATCCCTCCTCATGTTTCTCTTCCTCCGCCTCCCTCATACCCCCCTCATCTTTCCTCCTCCTCCCTCCACGTCCTCCCCGTTCTAATCGTCCCTCACCCTCCTCCCTCTTCACCAACTTCTCTTCCTCCTCCTCATCATCCTTCTTCCCCTGTTCCTCTCGAAGCCGTCTTTCCCCCACCCCTCCTCCCCCTCCTCCTCCTCCACCTCCTCCTCCTCCTCCTCTCATCATCATCATCATCATCATCATCATCATCATCATCATCATCATCATCATCATCATCATCGTCATCATCATCATCATCATCATCATAATCATCAGCATCAGCATCAGCATCAGCATCATCATCATCATCATCATCATCATCATCATCATCATCATCATCATCATCATCATCCGCATCCCCTTGCGCCCCATATTCACAGTCGTTCTTCTCATATGCCCTTGCGGTCGTCGCCATCGCCGTCGTTCCCACTGCACTATGCCTCTTCTGCTACAACTGTTGCATCACCACCGTAACACATCGATGAATTCGCCGCACCAGCTGAACTTTAAGACCCTACATCTCTAAGGATTCGGCATCGGTGATTTCGCGCGCAGGGCGCACATCCTCGGGCTCAGGGGGTGCTCACACACAGGCTCGGGCTCGGGATTCCACATATCGTGCACGATTCTCCGATGAATTCACGTGTCTGTTAGCGGGAACGCGCCATAGCCGAGGATGCGAAGCCATTGGTTCAGGATGCCCCGAGGAAGCGGACGGCCAATTTCGCCAGGCAACATGTCGCATGTTGCCAGCAGTAGTCGTTATGATTCGCATAGGCGCCTCCGCCCTATCCAGCCCCCCTCGCCCATGCTATCTACCCGCGCGTTCGCCAGGTCCAGAGGCTCGGTTGGCAAACGCGGTTCGCGGTTCAATCCGAGTCCTCACGGAGATGTTTGATGATCACATTTTATCCGCCAGTTTTGTTCATCAGCTTTGGGATTTGCTTGATGCCCATAGTCTCCCGCTCGGCTTCATATGGCACGTGGGATGGACGCGCGATGGAAATGCGGGCGCCGCTTAGGGGCGCAAACCCATGCCGCTCGAACGCACCCTGGGCATGCATCCAAGATGCGCGCGCCATCCATGGGCGCTTCGGTCGACGAGGGCTGTACCCCTAAGCGGCACCCGCCCTTCCAGCGCGCATTTAGGAACTTAGATGGTGGGAAACCAACGTTCCTCCTCATCCTCCCTCGTCCTCCTCATCCTCACCTTCCGAAATGTCTCGGCCCGTGGCGTCTAGATACTCGTCCACTTCCATGGGCGCGCATGAGTTAGCGTCGGCGAAAACGGCATCCACATACAGGTCTTGGACAAACTTCTCGAAATCAACGGCTTGGGACTTCGTAATTAAAATGGTTGCGGTTGCGGTGGCATTGAGCACTGCGCCATTTGCCATGGGGGTATTTTTTGGGGGGAGGAGGAGAAGGAGGAGGAAGAGGAGGAGGAGGAGGAGGAAGAGGAGCAGGAGCAGTGGGAGCAGGAGGAGGAGGGGTAGACATTTACCAACACCTTACTGTCAATGCGCCTGCTGCCGCCCGAGCGGCACGGCGGTCGCCCGCCGTGACCGTGGACGACAACGCGGAGGCGGCCCCGCCCGCAAACCGGCCACCGCGGGCCCAGGAAGGGGGGGGGGCGACGGCGTGGCGGCGCAAAGCCGATACATCGGACTCTGCGGTGCGATTGTGGTGGATCCATATCCAATGCATCGTTGGTTCGTCACGCGCGGGCTGCTCACCGATGGCTCACCGACGGCTCACCGATCGATCTTCTGTCACCGAAAGAAATATGCTCCACAATTTTTCGTAGCGAGGGGTGCGGCAGTACACGCATCGTGGGGCGTTCTAGTACTCCATCCAGCCCCTTCCCATTCTCACGCTTCATTGGCGTGTGCCTTTCTCTCTCTCTCTCTCTCTCTCTCTCTCTTTTTTTTTGTTCTCTCTCTCTCTCTCGCTCTCTCTTTCGCTCTCTCTCTCTCTCTCTTTCTCTCCTCCTCCTCTCTCTCTCTCTCTCTCTCCTCTCTCGACATCTATATTTCTATCGTCTTCTCTCTCACCATCACCTGCGTGCGTCTGCAGACCAGCTGCTTACGTGTTCCCCGACCCGCGTGGAAAGACCAGAAAGCGTTATCCAATGACGTTTGTATTGCAACATCGCCAATGCATCGTGGGCGAGGTGCATGTCTTGTATCCTGAGTATCCAGCTCCTACCTCGCCCTATCCCGTTCGCCCTTGCGCGCTGTTGTTTAGGACTATGCAATTGCATTGGTATGCGTTGTCGTTTATCGCCGTCGTCGTCGACGCCCCGATCGTTTGCCGTCAACGTCGTTGTCATCGTCGAGATCAGTCGGCGCAATCGCGACCCAATCCCCGCCGTCGGTAGCGCGGTCGTCGGGGTCACCGTTCCCGTCGTCTGCGTCGATCGCTCTCGCCCTCGCAGCATCATCCGTCTTTCTGAAACTGCCGCCTTGCGCGAGGTGCTCGCGGCCCTCTGCGTGGTCCTCTTTGGGCCCTCTTGGGGGTTATCTTGGGGCCCCACGGATGTTCTCTTCGGGCCTTGTGGGTGTCCTCTTGGGGCCCTCTTGGGGGTCCTCCTGGGGCCTCTTGGGAGTCCTTTTGGGGCCTTCGTTGCGGTCCTCTTGGGGCCTTGTTGATTCAGTGCTTCTTGCCTCACTCCGCTGCCGTTTGGGCACTAGCTACCTTGGAGACTCGCGGTGGGGAACCCGCGAGAGGAGAACAAGCTAGCCCTCACACTTTCCCCAGAGGGTCCGGAGGACCCCTCACTTACCACTCGGGCTTTGACACTAGCTTGAGCCACAGCCCTGAATACAGCCATGGCGGACGGAGGCAGCAGTGGAGGAAGCAGCATTCGTGATAGACGATTCTCCGGAGAAGGAGCAGCTGCAGTCCAGGACTACAAGGCTTGGAAGAAATGGGCACGAGCGAGATTATTGGTGGAGAAGGGGCGCGGAGGTAAGTCGGAGACCTTCGGCCCCATGTTGTACACCCTCTTGGAGGGGGCGGCCGTGGACGCCCTGGAGCATGTGGAGCTAGACGAGTTGGCGGTCGACGGCGGCGAGGAAAAGTTGTTCGCCGTCTTAGACGCACGGTGCCCAGAGCGAGAAGCGGCCGACCGAGTGGGAGATGCGCTGGAGTCCGTGTTCGGTCTGAAGATAGAGAAGGCGGAGCTCACCAGCGCTTACGTGGGCAGGGCCCAGACGATTTTCATGAAGGCCAAGAAGGAGGGCGTGGAGATTCCGGACGTCGAATCAGGGTTTCTCCTTCTTCGAGGCGCTCGCCTCGGCGGGGACCGGCGCGCCGTCGCCCTCGCGGCCAGCGAGAAGCAGTGGGCGTTCGAGAAGCTGGCCCTGGCGCTGAAGACGGTCTACCCGAAGGTGCTGCCCGAGCACGGCGTGCATCTGGTGGAGGACGACTACGTGTGGGAGGCGGCGGGCGAGGAGCCCCCCCCGCGGCCGGCTCCCAAGAGGGGATAGAGGCGTTCCCGGCGGAGGTCGGGCATGATCGCGAGGAACCCATGGAGGAAGACGAGGCCATCCAGGTGCTGGCGACGTGGGAGGAGACCCGGGCGGCGGTCGCAGGGGAGCGGAAGAAACGCGGCCTACCACCCCCGCAGGCCCCTGATCTGAAGAGGTTTTCCGTTCGAGTCCGCTGCTGGGCACGCAAGCAGGTGGGCCACTTCAGCAAGGAGTGCCCGAAACGAGCTGGCAAGGGTGGCGGCAAGGGCCGCTTTGGCCAGAAGTTCGGGGCCGGCTTCGTCGAGAGTTTCTTCGCTGAGGAAAAGGAGGCCGACCCCTGGAGTGAGATAGAGGAGATCCTGGCGACGTGGGACGACAGGAGCCTCAGGGACCAGCTGACAGAGGACCACTTCAGACGTCTGCGCAAGGAGGTTGACGAGATCGCCGACTACGACGATGAGGACGCCGACAACAACGGCGAGGCGGAGACGTTCATGGTGCACTCGCCGGGCGCCGGGGTGATTGACCCAGGTTGCGCGAGGGCCCTGATCGGCTTGGACACGCTGAGGGAGCTGATGAAGGTGTCCGGGAACGACATTGAGATCGACGAGGACCACAAGGTGGTCACGTTCAAGGGGTTCAGCGGCGACGAGCAGCACTCCATGGGCATCTGCAAGATCCCGTGGAGGCTCGGCGACCACATCGAGATGGTCGACGTGTACGTGGTTCCGGGGAAGGCGGGCCTCTTGTTGAGTAAGCCCCTCCTGAAGAAGCTGGGCTGCACGCTGGACATGGAGAAGGACGAGCTGGTGTTCCAGAAGCTGGGCGTCCGCGTGCTGCTCCAAACGACCCGCGGCGGCCACTACGAGGTGCTACTCGACGGTTCGTCCGCGGTCCCCATCGTGGACCGGGATTTTCAGTAGGGCCGGGCCGTAGCCCTGAGGCCATAGATGAGATGTGTGTCGTGAATCAAGCAAGTTCGCGGCGACCTGTCATCATGGAGGTGGGTTCGAGGATGGCGGAGCGTACGATTTGCAGACAGGTTGGGATGCTCGCCAGCGCGAGGACGTCTCCCGGCTCTTCTGTGACCTGGAGACCAAAGATCCGATCCTCGTGTCGTGCAGTCCGCCCTGTGGCAAGCTGTCGCCGTTGCAGGCTCTCACGTCCGAGGCCAAACGCAAGGATCCTGAGAAGTTTGAGCAAGAGGTTCAGGAGGCGGTCTCTTTCATTGTCTTGTGCCTGGTGATTGCAGAGTGGCAGATGATGCGTGGGAAGCATTTCATACTCGAGCAATCCCGAGGGAGTTCGGCATGGGGCTTGAAGGAGATGACTCACTTTCTCACGGAGTTTTCCCCCTTCATCGCGGAGGCAGCGGCGTGCAGGTTTGGCAAGCTGGACCTGGTGTCTGGAGTTCCCCTCGCCAAGGTCTGGCGCTTCGCCTCGAACCTTCCGGAGGTAGCCGAGGAGGTGGACCGCCAGTGCCGGGGCGGCCATGAGCACCAGGACGTGATGGACAGTGCTGGCGGCATGAAGCGCTCGGTCTGGTCCCAGATCTACCCGGACAGGCTGGCGAAGGCGCTGGTGCGAGGAGCTTACCGGGCCAGGATAGAGAACCACAGCCACGCCCGCCAGACGACCGTCCACGAGGCGGAGGCCATGGGGGTCGGTGACCAGGAGGATGACGAGGAGGCGGGCGTCGAGGGTAAGGAGCGCCTTACCCGGGACGACCTGTACCATGGTCGGCCACAGACCATCGAGGCCGGGTTGCGACGTCTACATGTCAATCTCGGCCACGCCCCGGTGCCTACCATGATGAGACATATACGCCATGCTAACGCGACCGAGGCTGCCCTGAAGATGGCCGCGGAGTTCCGCTGCCCGGAGTGCGATGTCAAGGCAGACCCGAAGTCAGTTCGTCCCGCTGCACCGGACATTGCGCAGCCTCCACTAAGGTCCATCGGCATGGACGTGAAGGAGCTCCCGGGTTGGATGCCCGATCAGATCGTCAAGGCACTCAATATCGTGTACGATACGTTGTCGCTGCAATCCATGACTCCGTTCGATGAGGGAGATGACGAGGTGGCAGCTGACCTACTGCGCCTGTACCGAGACAACTGGACTCGCCCCCTACCTGCGCCCGAAGTGGATCCGCCTCGACCCGGCGAAGCCCCACGTGTCCAAGGTCTTCACCAGTGCGATGGAGCGGGACGGGACTACGATCCTGGACACGGCGGGCAGCGCACAGGAGCAGAACGATGCTCCGCGCCGTGATCGCCGAGGTCCAGCCGCAGGACCGCGGAGAGTGGCGCGAGAGCGTGGCGCAGGTGCAGGAGGCCAAGAAC